ACCGCAAGTCAAAAGTACTTGTTGAAAAAAAGTGTTATATATTTAAAGTTTATAAGGCAGAATAAGGGAATGCAGTTAAAACGAATGCAAAAAGGCAACAGCGGAAGCTGAAAGATTGCAAAGCAGTCGATGGGATGGCAAATAAGCAGGAAAATGGGGAGGATGAAGAAGAACAAACTGGAAAAAGTTAATTGTAGGCGACAAAAAAGTAACAAAAATAGAATATGCAATAGCAGTAAACTGAATATGCTTAAAAGCATAATCTTTTCCGTTTTAACAGATAGGCTTTCACGTTTTACCCATCAAAAGCAACAGACGAAACCTACAGGTTGGATAAGTTGCTTCTTCAAACACCCAATCCTCTATCCTTTAACGCTTTTTCGCTTGCGTCTTCCTCTCCTTGCTACAATGTTTAGGCAGCCTTCATAAATGCTGTCTGATAACAACAACGAAACAGGCAATCAGTAACTTAGTCACTTAGTCAATCAACTGCAGCGTGCAATTTTATATTTCTTAGTCGAAAAAAAAATTTAAATTTTCGATTTTGCTTTAAAAGTAAAAAAAAAAAAAAAAACAAAATAAAATGTGTAATGTTGTAAATAAGAAACCGTTTTATGCTTAGGCAAAAAATTAAAGTCTTACGACAACAATGAAAGCTGTTTAAAAGTAATCCCAAATAAGGTGTCCAAAAATAATGATAACTAAAGAAACAGTAAAAATTTAAAAACACCTGTATCCTCCTATACTTAAAACAGAAATTAAATTACAAACAGATAGATTAAATTTGTTGCTCAAACTGATATACCATAAAATACAGCAGAATAAAGTATTTTCAAGTTGGTAGAAACAATATCAATGATCAGTTATTAAACTGCTAAGAAAATGCTAACAAATGAACTGTAATTCAAATTACAGAAATTGACCGATCAAAAACAATAATAACAAAACCAAAAAACAATTTTTCTTTTATTTTAAAAAGCATAAAAGTTGTACACTAAAAATGTGAAAAATGACACTCCCTTCCACTCCCCTTTCCACCTCCCCTCAAATGCTCAAAATGCTATCACTTCTTAAATCTTCTTCTATTCAGAAAAATAAAATCAATTTTTTCTTTTCTCCAATCATTGAAAACTGATTATAAAACGAAAAAAAAAAAA